ATTTGAGAACGATATTTTTCCTCCACGTTAATTTTGTGTATAAATACAATTTACGAAATAAAATCTCCATATTTACCTTGATAAAATTCATCAAGAAACGAAACACGTTGAAAGTTTAACTTTTGTCTTTTCTTTTATTCATATATATATATATATATATGAATGAAAAGATCCTTGTTTTATAAATTTCTGTTGCATAAGTTCTTATTATTTTTACAAGCTTTCGTCTGTTCCTACAGACATCCTCAGAACTTATGCAGCAGAAATTTATAAAACAAAGATCTTTTCATTCATAAACAGGTTCGGGTTTTTTGTATATTATTTGAATTGTTCGCGATGATGGATTTCTCGCCAATTAAATCATTAACCTTTGTATTTGTTTTTTTGTATGAATAATTCATGAATTTGTAAATTAATTGCACCTTTATTGAAATATATATATATATATATATATATAGTGATGATATGGTAATCCGTATCGAATTTCAAGTAAGATAAAGATCCATAGAGAGCTCTGTCAAAAGACAGAGCAAAATTATTATCAATTAAAGAATATCAAACTTATGTGATTTTAAGTGTTTGATATGTTTTAATTAACAAGATAGATAGATAGATAGATAGATAGATAGATAGATAGAAGTTTCATTACAATTGTTCGAGAAGTGAAATAGTGCAAAGTTACGTTGTAATTTCTAACTTGTATGTTTTGTTTTCATTGGCTGTATAGATGCCACGTGTCTACCTTATAGCGTTTGTGTTTATATTCGTGTTTCTCGAAATGTTAACGTAATTATAGGTACCTCTATTATTTCTCTAATATAGCATGACAAGAACGGTCTGAAAATTAACGAAAAAAATTTTTCATGATAAAAGTATATTTCATTATTGAGAAGAAACACTAAAGTATTTTTTTGAGTAATTTTTGAAATTTTTATATTCGCATGTCCGAAATTTTAGTTCTTGTTTCGAAAATGTCTATATCGCCATATTTTTAAAAATTTAAAAATAAGTTAAATTCTTCGTTTAAAATTCGTTTAAAAATTAATTATGTATTTCAAATTTATTCGAAGAAATTTAGAAAATTTAAAGTTTATTTAAAATATTTTGAAAACTTTCTTCGTAGAAAAATTTTTTAAAGATAAAAGAGCCGATCTTCGTTGCCGTTGATTGACAGAGTGCCAAGTGATGACATCTATAAATTATTGACAGCTGACGTGAGATTCGAAAAGCACAGAATGGACATATTATTTTTTTTTTAAGCGGACCTACTTAAGTAGTAACTTGTAATATTTAAAGTAAAAAACTTTCGCCATTACAATTTTTTTTTTTTGTTAACTACTATGTACCATAGGTTTTTTACTCTCTGGAGAAATTATAAATACTATTAAAAAAACTAAAATACAAGTGCTGCACTGCTGTTTGAGGGCCCATATAGACCCTCTAAAGTCAATTCAGATTTGTTTAAAAAAAATTCTATGTAAAAATAATCAAACATAGTAAAAGTCATTTTGTCACAGCCTATATTCTCGGAAAAAATAAATAAATGATTATTTTTATGTAATAAAAAATTGAAAAAATACCAGGTCTGAAAACAAACAATATGTTTCATTTAAAAGTAAAATTGGCCAGTGTAAATGACTTTTTTGTTTTCTTGAGGCAAAATTTACAAAAATAATTAAAACCCACTATTTATTTATTTAATGAAGGTTGTTTATTCAACCAAACATTACAGGACTAGAATGAAAACTAGATTTACCTATTTAACTTAATGAAAATGATGCACACGTGTTTCAGCAGGAACAGTTTGCTAAAAAAAGGGCCGTATACAGCGAAGAACAACCCTTACTAGACAGAAACTCAAACTGACGTTATTTTTATTGCACGCACCAAACTTCCGGTCTTCCGTAGATTTCATTTAAACACATTATTGACAAATTTAAAAAAATAAGCTTTGGAAATTATAATCTGTAAAAAATATCTACTTAAAAACAACATTTTTACGCGCTTTTCATAATTTTAAATAATGTAAAAAATAAAAACAATGGTTGACGGAAATAAAAAATAATTGTAAATTGTTTTAAAAAATTTATCATCGAAATACCAGACAATATTGTCCATGTTTATTGGAATAAATAAAAGCAATTAAAAGCTTTTGAAATTTTATTTTTGTTTTATTGATTTTACTTAAAGTTTGAATCAATTTTCCTCAAAGCATTGTGCTTTTAACTGATATTCACTAAACTCCTAATTGAAATTATAGAGTTTTTGTACAATTTTAATAAATAAATAAAAAAAAAAAAAATTTCTGATGACTTTACTAAAAAAAAAATGTATTTATAATAAGTTCCATCATTTGTAAATAGTTTTATTTCATTAAAATCAAACAATTATTTTCATTTTGCAAGATTTTCAATTCTCAAGAACCAAAAGTTTAACGTTAAAAATGTGATAAAAAGAGAAACAAGGTCTTTTAATCAAAATTTACAATGTTCTAAAAAAGAAGGAAAAATTTAAAAAAATAAGTAAAAAATACGTTTAAAAAGGAAAATTTTTTTTCATCAACTTTTCTTTTTAATCGTCGCGATTTTAAAACAAATAAAAATTGCAAAAGGACGAAGAGTTTTTTTTTTAACTACCTTCACTCTTCGCCAATGTTTATTGTTTTAAAAAGCGATGATTAAAATTGTAATCAAAAAAAACGTTTTTTTGTTCTTGAGAATTTACAAAAATATTAAACACTATTTATTTATTTAATAGGTTGTTTATTCACAAGAATAATTTTATATTTACAACATTCTGAAAAAAAAACTAATACAATTAGAACTACCACAAAGCAGTATTTATCGTTTAAAAAAATAAATAAATGTGAAAATATTTTTTTATTCATAAATTTAGGGACATTTACTAAATTAAAATATCTGAACCCACTATAAGAAGATTTTTATTATTTGCCATTTTATAAAGTTTGAATCAATTGGCAATTAGCCAACTATTCCAATAAATAATTTAATAAATAAATAGTGTAAATAAACAGTGTTTAATATGTTTGTCAATTCTCAAGAACGAAGAAAATGTATGAATTCACTTTCATACGTTTAGGTTTTATGACAATTCTAATCGTCGCTTTTTAAAACAATAAAAATTGCCGAAGAGTGGAGGTAGTTGAAAAAAAATGTGTCATGAAAAAAAAAAACGTTTTTTCTAACTCACTATGTCTTATTACGGGTTCGTTTATCTATGTTTCCCAAAGCTACATTTTCAATAATTATCAGCTCTCATCAACTCAAACTCAGAATATTCTCTATATAAATATCAATGTGCTTGCGTACAACTTAGAATCAGAATTGCCATCAATATCCGCTGACTTGCAAGATTTCAAACGAAGACATATCCAACAAAATGCGGACGTCGGATGTCACCTTCAACTGGAGAAATTAGTCTCGCACAGGTGCAGTTGTAGTCAACATAAGAGATTGCTCGCGCAATAATTCAATTTGTGTAAGAGTTATTTCTATTGATTACGTTAGCATGTTAACACTTAAATTACATTATAATCATCATCATGAAAGAGGTTTCGACATGAAGGTACACTGTAAATCAGCGCGTATCTTCAGTAACTTCAGAAATATCTTTTATCAGTCCTTTCGAAATTTCCTTGTGCTGTGCTCCGTCACGAAACAGCTGCAGGCCTTCCAAGCACGTCACAGATTGATAGTTTTTTTGTTGTTGTTGTTGTTTTTTTTTTTAATGTGCTTACTCTGGTTGTTTGCCCAATGTCTATAACTGAAACTGAGATATCCAGAAAAGGCGTGGCACGTGGAACTAGAACGATTTACCCGGCGGACAAAATAAAGAGGTCGTGTCGAAATTCCAACCTAAATCACCTGAAGAAGACCGGAGCGTACACGGCCGAAACGTCGTGAATATGACAATATAGCTGAGGGCAATAGTCCAAACAATGTAAATAGTTACAATACCTCATCTCATAAATATAGACAGCTAGTCTATGTATTTTATTCTCTCATTTGGTATTGATGACAAGAACATTTCCAAAATACTTGCTGCTTCCAAAGCTATTAACTCTGATAATAATATCAAGTCTTCTTTTTATTTTGGTTTCTTGGAGACAGCATACATCAAAGTTGGAACTATCAATATCCCGAGAAAATAATTCCTGTTTTTCTTTTTTTTATTCACAAGTTCTTTTTTTACATGTCCCAATGGTAAGATCTTTGTATGCAATTGGAGGCATTTACAAAGTTTTATGTTTTGGTTTGGATTATTTTGTTTTACGCCAAATCAACCTCACTGGGTTATTTAATTTAAGATTTTTATTGCTAATATTTTTTTTTCAAAAATATATTAGCAACATATATTACTGTTAATAATTTTCTTTTTTTCCTTTTTTTTTTTTTTTCGAAAATGTATTGCTGGTATTTTTACTATAAAAACCTATTTTCACAGTTTCATAGTGTTTTGAACCCAGCAATTAAGAAGTGGTTCCATACTCCTCAAAACCTCCTGACCAATGACCTTACTACCGGATGTAGTTCATACCCAGGACATACAAAGTTTTAAATAAGTTACCTACTTTTAACGGTTGTTACCTTCTCCGGCGAAATTATGTTAACATTTAAAAATTCAAACAAACAAACGCTGTAAGATATTGTGTAAAACCAATGAAAACAAAGCCAACGGAATTTAAACCTTCAAAGATAACTCGGCATAATTTCACTTTTAAAGAAATTGTAATGAAGTTAAATAACGAAACATATCAAATTTATAAAGATCTTCCTATTTATTCCTTATTTAATCATAAATACGCGGGCGTTGTTATTAATTTCACTGTTTAAGAAAAAAAAAACAGATATCAACTGAAAAACCCACTAAAAATAACGTTTGCAGAAATAAGTAATATGTGCGTGCATGTGTACGTGCGTGTGTTCTTGTATGCGTGTTTTATATAAAAATGAAATGTTGATACATTTTCTCTATTGCAGATGTTGGATAGAAAAAAACGAACTCCACTGGATAATCGACGGCCCAATTTGCTTTTCGCTTTTAGTAAGTTCATCCCATTGATTCTTTTACATATTTTTTTTTGTTTTCTTTGGTTTTTTTTTGGTTTTTGTTTTTGTTTTTTTTTATTCTAATTTTGTTTCTTGATAAGAAGGCCATTTTTATGAGACAAAATTGACGATAAGAAATTTCCCTTAACAATGACGTGGAAAAATTCAATCAGATGTTTTGCATAGATCCAACGAATTTAATAACACTTCATATAAAACTAGGTACCTCCACGTAATCGCTAAAAAATCAGCACATTGAGATGAAAACATCCTCTAAACGTAATGAAAACAGTTATCGTCAAAATCTTTACGCCATTATTAAGAGGAAAGATCAAAGAAGCTTTTAATATTTAGTTAAATATTTTACTTCTTTTTAGAACATCCAAATGTTGATTTTTTTTTTTTTTCAGGGAATGTTCTATAAATTAACATAGTAAATTTTAGCGTTTTTTGGGGGGGGGGGCGCTGACAGACACATTAATTTGGAAATTCTTGCAAAAATCAAATAATTGTCGGATTTTAATAACATTTTCAGAACTTATTCACAAATGAATGAAATTATTTTAGAAAATACTTCCTATTAGAAAATCTTGGTAAATATTGTTTTTATATGTGATTCAGCCCATTAGTTAATTTTATGAAAACTTGAGAAATTCAACGTGATAATTTTAGTGACTATATTAGTTAAAAGCAGAATTCTTTGGAGAATTTAAATCATCGATTTCTTTTCAAAATGGGGCCCCCTTTTACCAAAACACGACACGAAAAGTAAAAAAACGCAATAAAATTAAGACACTATTTAATTAAAGAAGCTTTTAACCGTTTTCATGAAATGATATACACACACACACACACACACACACACACATATATATATATATATATATATATATATATATATATATATATATATATATATATATTAAGGGCAATATTGTCTTAGGAAAAAAGTTTTTTCGCTGAAAAATGAATTTTTACAATATTTGTTTTTATTTTTTTATTACAATTAGAATAATCTGTAATATTTTTAAAAAGATATATTTAAATTAGTTTTTAACTATAGCATAGTATTTTGTTTATTGGTAATGTTGAATTTAATCTCTCAACTTGAAATTAAAACTAAAATAATAGCTTCAAGAAATATTTTTCCTTATTAAAAAATCATTTTAAACTTTAGGTATCGCGTTTTTAAAGCTTATATATGCATTAGCTCAAGATATTGACTATTCTTCGAATTGAAAGCTTTCTTTCCGATACAACATAAATGAATGTCAGAACTATCAACGTCCTTTGCCAATAATTCCTGCTTTTCTTTTCTTTTTACACAAGTCCTCTAACATTACATTAAATGTCCTAGTGGTAAAATCTTTATCTGCGACTGGACAAAGTTTTAAATATGAATTTAACCAGTTTTGACGGTTGACACCCAGGAAAATATTCTTCAAGAAAATATCTCATGGGAGATAATACCGTTTTTTGTATTTCACACATGCGCACAAATAATTTCACTGAATCATTAACACAAAAACGACATTATGAATACAAAATGAAAGAGTATAATTTATTTACGATCATCACATAACTCTTTGCACCCGTCCTAAATCCATTATTGTCTGCTGGAGTATTAATTGAACTGTAGTAATGATGTATGAATTATAATAAACTTTTAACTGCACATGTAAATGTGTTACTTGTTCTAAACATTCCAGCAATATATTAATTTCTTCAATAAATCTCATGCTAATTCCTTTTAGCCATCACTTAATATTGCTTTTCTTCAACATTGGAAAAGGTTCTGACATTATTCAGAGTTATTTCAGATCAGTCATTTTTTTTCATTATCAGAAAATTGCTGAACGAATTTCTTTTTACTGAATTTATTTGCATATCTAAAATCTATACATTGGAACAATGATACTACAACAAAATGGTTTATTTTAACATTTTTATTATTATTGTGTGTGTGTGTGTGGGTGTGTGTGGGTGTGTGTGGGTGTGTGTGTGGGTGTGTGTGTGTGTGTGTGTGTGGGTGTGGTGTGTGGGTGTGTGTGTGTGTGTGTGGGTGTGTGTGTGTGTGGGTGTGTGGGTGTGTGGGGGGGTGATAACATCTTGCCAGAGAGTAATTTTAAATACCTAATTACCCTTTGGGGACTATGAGTAAAAAGGACGCTGTAGGAGAGTTGTCCATGCACATTTGGGATGTTTCGTTTTCGATGGAGATGGTTTGGTGGATGATATATGCAGTTCCACACAAAGTAGTCTTCCCTAGCTCTGGGATACTAATGAGTCCAGGGAATTGTACTCCCATGGTTTATCGCTATTATTATTATTATTGTTATTATTATTATTATTATTATTATTATTATTATTATTGGCGTTGATTTCTGTTGTATAAACATTTCTTTCTGGGTCCCAGCCAGAAACCTAAGGGAAGAAATGGCCTCATAATATTTTCACTGGACATCTTTCTAAATAAAACAACCTAAAATCACACACATTGTACTTCGATAAAACCTTTCGTAAGCTGTGATCTGTGTTCGTGAGAACTTTTTTTTCTTTAAGGCATGTGTTACTATGGAATCCCTTCAGCGATTCTATCAGGCCTTTTTCCAATCAAACCGAGTTTATTATTATTATTATTTTTATTGTTTTTATTTTCTTTGATTTCTGGCGTTTACACATTTCTTTCCGGGCTGCGCCCAGGGACCTAAGGTTAGAAATGGCATCATGACACTTTCCACTGACAAAAAAAAAAATTACATAGATAAAGCCCTTCGTAAAAGTGTGGGCTGTACTTGTCAGAACAATTTTTTGTATCTCCTTGAGGCATGGACTTCAGGAATCTCTTCAATTAGTCTACTGCAATCTTTTCCAACCAGTCCTAGGGCTCCAACTACAACAGGGATTGTTGATGTTCCCATATGCCACATTTTCGAGATTTCTATTTCAGTTGTAGTTGGAGCCCTAGGACTGGTTGGAAAAGATTGCAGTAGACTAATTGAAGGGATTCCTGGAAGTCCATGCCTCAAGGAGATACAAAAAATTGTTCTGACAAGTACAGCCCACACCTTACGAAGGGCTTTATCTATGTAATTTAAATTTTTTTTTTGTCAGTGGAAAGTGTCATGACGCCATTTCTAACCTAAGGTCCCTGGGCGGGACCCGGAAAGAAATGTGTAAACGCCAGAAATCAAACGAAATAATAATAATAATAATAATAATAATAATAATAATAGAGAATGATAATCATAAATGCCCTTTCTTTTCTCTTTGTGTATGTGTGCGTGCGTGTATTTGTGTGTATGTTCTGCGTGTGTATGCGTACGCGGGTGCATGTGTGTATATGCGTTTGTTTCAAATGTTGTGTATATTTCTTCTTTTCATCATTTTCTTGTCACTTCACACTTTGTCCCTATCTTAGCCCGGATGTTGAATGTTCTTTCCTTTGAAAGATCAAATTATACTAAGTTTCCTCACAGCTATAGCAGATTCTTTTTTTTTACGAGTGAGTACTGAAAAGTTTTCGTACTGATCTTACTTTCTAAAATCTGGCACAATAACCAAACATCAGAATTTATTTGGAAGCCCATCTTGATCAGACTGATAAATGTTCAGCACCCAGTCGAATGATATCAGAAAGTGTAATACAAACACAAAAGGATATAATTATGTTTTATAAATACAGAATATTCGGATAATTTCTACAGAATTTATGTCCACAAAAAGAAAAAAACTATAAGAAAAATTAAATAAAAAACTTAACTGCAGTACCTTGTCAGTTGTTTTTAATGAAATTTGTATAAAAGAGGGATTGCTGCCCAAATACAAACACACACACACACACACACACATATATATATATATATATATATATATATATATATATATATATATATATATATATATATATATATATATATATATAATAATCAGAGGGTGGTCCTCCCTGCGAAGAGGGGCACAGGTTCGAATCTTAGCGGAGGGCATATTAATAAAATTTTTCTCTAAGTTGATTGATTTTATATTCAGCACTTGAACTCCAGAGACTCATAGACGAACTTTTCTGTAATCGTTCAGTCCACTTGTCAGGAGATTTCATTAACTGACTGCCGTTTTTCTCAATTTTTTCGTTATCTTTAAACCAAGTTTGATGTAATTAATTTATGCGTTATTCGGGATGCTTTTATTATTGGTGTTAGGCCGATTTCTTTTCTCTTTGTGCATGTGTGCGTGCGTGTATTTGTGTGTGTATGTTCTGCGTGTGTATGCGTACGCGGGTGCATGTGTGTATATGCGTTTGTTTCAAATGTTGTGTATATTTTGTCTTTTCATCATTTTCTTGTCGCCTCACACTCTGTTCCTATTCCTTTTCCTTCTTTTTCTCTCTCTTTCTGAGTTTCTTTTTTCCAGGTTTTCAGAGAAGACGTTTAGCCATCTTGACGCCGTTTGTCGTAAGAATCACTGAAAAAAAACTTTTTAGTTATTCAGCTAATATAACAGGTTAAATTTGTTTTATGTCAAACCCACTATGTCTTCCCAACTGAGCAATGGTGAGACGAAAAAGATCATTCAGTAATGGTACGAACATTCATAGTCTGTCTTCCATCTTCAAAGACCATTCAAGAACCATCAAGAGAACGGTGAATAAGTTTTAAAAAGAGGGAACAGTAGAAAGAAAAACTGGATCAGGAGGTCACAACAGCAAGAAGGATCATCATTTCAACGTAGTTCTTAATATATTCTTATTGTTCAAAGTAGAGTCCAATAGTGTTATAAAAACCTCGGAGAATTCTAGTAAGATATCTTTAATTATTTCTAAGATACAACTGTTTAAAGCTTAATCTAACAATTGGACATGTTTGCTGGTACACGATTTGGACAATTTTGCTGTTACACCCGGTATAACTATTATCACATCATACTTGGTAGTTTTTTTTTAGGTTGGCGTCCTGGATGTATGTTCTGAATGGGTGACCAATGCTTGGGTGTCTGTTTCGGCGTTTACAATACAACGTCCCTGATAAACTTATCCTTACTAAAAGAAAGTTCGACAAATTAAATTCTTCCCTCCTGAATGATTTGGGAGATGAGGTCATAGAGCTGGGTTTTTTTTTTGTTTTTTTTTTCTTTTTTTAAGATACGTCGTTATCATTGCACCATGTTCGAATCGGCTTGGTTATTTACGTTCACTTACTCGCAAATACCCTTAGGAAATCCATCTCTTCTCCCCCAGCTACGGGTTAAATAACAGGGCAGCCTGCATCCTTTCGCTTTGGCAGTCACTCTACCGCAGAACAAATCGGCAACGTACTACAATCTTCTGCCTAGTCAGTCATGAATCGAAAGAGACATGATTGGCTATGTCACTTAACTAACTGACTCCAGGATAGATTCAATGTAATATTCAATATCCTTGTATATGTGCCATTCTCTGAAATAGTACACCAGTAACAATGCTATTATTCCGACGTCAACTAACGTTATTCATTTTCTCCCCTCTCTTTCACTCTTTTTCACTCTCTCTCTCTTTCTTTCTTTCTTTCTTTCTTTCTATTTGTCTCTCTCTCTTTCTTTCTTTCTATTTGTCTCTCTCTCTTTCCCCCCACTCTTTCTCTCGCTTTCTCTCTTTCCTCTCTCTTCATTTCTCATGTGAATACAATGCAAGAATGAACATTATTTCATTTTCAGATTCGTCAACAACTACACCAAATAATATTTCAAAATGGTTGCTTGATATTCCTACGTACGTCATAGCGTCCAGATTATACAGCCAGAAAAGTATCTATGTTGTATATCTCAAGAACCGGTTGTGCAAATTTGATGTAACCAATCAGAAGGGACCTTGTGGCGCATGCGTGAACAAACGCTCTCTCGTAGGGTCGGCAATGTAATATCATTGTGTGAATATGTGTATGTTTATTTTTTCTAAAGTTAACATCACCGTTGAAGACCGAGATTAGGGAGAATGTGAGAGGCATTTGCAGAATGTTTTGAAAAGTAGTAAAGACGCTGGGATAGGTTCGTGAGATTACAAGAGGATGATTTTTAATTGGACCAAATTGCCGATTTCTTAAATAGACTTATTTTTACGTTAATGTTTAATGACTTTATATTTTCTAAACGTACTCCATACGTTCGCTTATTCCCCGCATTTTATTCTTGCATTTTATGAATTGTTATTTACTGTTTTCGTTTTTCTATTTTTACAGCTCAACATTTATTTCCTGTGCGCCATTGTTTTCGTCCTTTTAACAAAATTAAGAGGAATGTCGGACAATTCGCAAACAAGGTAAATAATTTGCTTTCCCTACTTAATCTGGCATTGTCTATTTTTGTTGCTTGTATTTTTTCGTGTTTGTCTAGACATATGGAACAGACAGGTACAGGTGGATAGTTCGAGATGGTAATATAACATTACGTAGAAAAATATCTATATGGAAAGAGAAAATAAGAAATGAATTAATATGGAAGGGAAAGAAAGAAAGAAAGAAAGTGAAAGAGAGAAAGAATGTCAAAGAGAAAAGAAAAGTAAAAAGAAAGAAAAAAAAACAAATATTTTTTTAATCAATGTCAGCAAGGCAGTACAGCCATTAACACGCAAGGAGTTACAAGGTGTGAAGGAATTAGGAACAGAAACATTAGCAACGAGAAGAAAGAGGAAAGAGCAATCAGGAGAACAGTAGATAGCGATTGGCATTGCATTTAAATTGCAGAAGTTTGCTGGAAAGCATGAGACTGGAAGGTAATCCCACAAACGAAAAGTGCGTAGAAGTTACGGCTACATCTAGCTAACTCCACTATATATTGATGCGATCTCGCCGCCACTCTAGTGTTGCACTCAAACTCATACAGTCCAGGTACCATAGCAAAGAGCTCATCCGAACAATTACCATGATTGTATTTGAAAAAAAAAAAAAAAAAAAGCACAGAGAGGCAACCTTACGGCGGTGGGAAAAGTGACTGAAGCCGAGCTGCAAGATCAGGACCAAAAGTATTGCTGAATCTTCTTTGGATTTTATCAAGGATCTCAAGGTAAATCCCAGGGGCACTGGACCATAAGTGGCAGCAATATTCTAAGAATGGTAGACTTATAGATATTCAAGATAGATTCAGGAGAAAAGAATTGTCTTACCCGACACAGTGAACCGACTTTCTTAGCGGATGAACTAGCAATGGATTCGATATAGTCATTCCATTTCATGTCAGCTGAGAACGTTAGCCCGAAAAGGCGCAACGAGCCACTTGCCTGAAGGTTAGCAGAAGTCTAAAAGAAAGAATGTGGAAGGAAAAAAAACAAAAACAAACGAAAGAAAGAAAATGGAAGAAAATAGAAAAAAAATCAGTGCGTGTGTATATTTAATTTTTTTTACATTTATGTTGAAAAGAATGCTCAGTATTTGAGATAGATCGTTCCTATCATAGATATAGACAGTTTGGACATAAGATACAGCACTCATAATATATATATATATATATATATATATATATATATATATATATATATATATATATATATATATATTACTTAGTACATATACAGTACCTACGTCTTGGTATCATCTTAAGTTTCGCTGAATTACAGATCGGGTACAAGGTTTATGCTACTAAAAGTAAACAAATGGCTTATGCTACGTAGCCCCAAAATAAAATTGGACAAAAAGAGTAGCAAATGCGATGCAGATGAGTTCTATTTTTAAAAAAATAGAAAAAGGTAGAAAGATTGTAAATATATATATATATATATATATATATATATATATATATATATATATATATATAATCGACTCTCCCGTCGAGATTCGACGTATGAGAGTCAAGCAGATCAGTTTCCAGGAAACCGACAGCCCGACACCGGCACATGAGATTTGATTATAGTGGTGAAGATTTCGTGCAGGACCATCCACACTTTTTGAAGGAACGAATACAGAGACCTGGTGCACCGAATGCCAGACTGGGTTCTATAGCCTTGGATGGCAACTGGTCTAGGAGAAGGACAACTCTGAATTCAAAACCTGCGGAGGGTCATATATATATATATATATATATATATATATATATATGAAGAAATGTAGTCTTAAGATGTGCTATATTTATGGGATAAAGTGCTCAATATCAGAGATAGAGCGTGTGTAAATTTAAAATGAACATAGTCAATTTATGATTTGTTTATTTATTTATTTGGGTTAAATTATTTTGCTTGTTTTTTATTTGTTTTTTTATTTATTTTTAAAAAATTTTTATTTTTACATTATATTTTTTAGAAATAAAATTATAAAAATAAAAAATAAAAATAAATAAAAAAAACAAGCAAAATAATTTAACCCAAATAAATAAATAAACAAATAAATGACTTCCGGTAAAATAATCACCAAAATAGACTACCCACAAAGCACCACTGACCCGTATATATATATATATATATATATATATATATAAATAGCCGCGAAAATTAACAGCACTTGTGGCCTGACGATTGCATCTAGCATGAAACAGACTGTCGCCTCTAAGTGTTGATATCTATATATATATATATATATATATATATATATATATATGATTAGATAAACACTCTATGTGTGCTTCTTATAGCATGTAAAATAGGTTGCTTAATAAAACAAAGGCAAACGAAAGGCTACCAGTGTAATGGTACGAAAAACAATTATTGAATATTAATTATTAACCACGTGACAGAAATGAAGTACGGAAATTAAGATATTAAATCCGGAATTTTCGGACACGCCTGTGTCCTTTATCAGCGGATGCGAGAACTAAACAGAGAAATGGAGGAGACTCGCCGACAGTTGTTTTTGTGGACGGTGTGAATTTCAGTGGAGATGGTGTTTCTAGCAAAAACCAAATCTCTGTCTGATTTCTCCCTGAATCGCAATTTCTCTGTTTAATTCTCGCATCCGCTGATGAAGGACACAGGAGTGTCCGAAAATTCCAGACGTAATATCTTAATTTCCGTACTTCATTTCTGTCATGTGTTTAATAATTAATATTTAATAAATGTGTTTCTTACTCATTACATTAATTATCCTTTCGTTTGCCCTTGTTTTTTAACCGACTTATCTATTTTACACACACACACACACACACACACACACACACATATATATATATATATATATATATATATTATTATTATTATTATTATTATTAATATTATTATTAAAAAACATTGAGCTCTATGTGTGAATCAGTTTTAATATTTAATATTTTATATTGTGTTAATAGGATTCACTTTGATTATATACCAACGGATTACTTCCTACCTACCTATATATGTGTGTGTGTGAAATAGAGATTTCTTTTCTGATGTCAGTAGAAAGTTATCTGAGTAGTGTATTCGATTCTCAATCGCGACCCCATTAAAGCAGCCTTGCGACAAGCTTATCCAAATGACTATATGTGAATACTGGCCGCGTGTTAACAAGTCACATTTTAAATGAGAGCCCTACAATTGTGGCCTTCTGTCAGACGAGACAAAGCTTTGTATATCTTTAAAAGATAAACAATTGATCAGAAACTTAGTTCAAGAGTGACGTGTCTTTTTCGAATGCACGCACTCATTTTCAGAGCGAAAAAAGGACAGATTCCAATTGTGACCTGCTTCTCGACTGATATACTTACAGCGCGAAATCAAAAATAAGGATTTTGGATGTTGATTTTTTTTAATGTAGTCTGTTCTTCCTTATTGGGAAATTGGCGTAACATAATCTTCTTACTATCATTAAAGCCTTATGTTGTATTAAGCTGAGTAAACATGGGAATAACTACAGAGGCGTATTCTCTCCCAGTCCAAGTCTTGATCAATATAAAAGTAGAGTCTAATTAATAATATAAAAAGAGTCGTTGTCAAAGTCCATCTCATACGCATCAAATGCTCTATGACAGGAATTTAAAAAAAGAAATTAAAAATCGCTTTGTTCATTATTCGGCAGTCTAAAAACATTAATGGGAATGTAACCACTATGAACAATTATTTAATTTTATAATATTTTCTGGATGTGTGTGTAGCGTAATGGATACGAACATAGAAAGTAGAATCGTGCATCGAGTTCAAATTCCGATCTAGAGTGTTGTATTCACTTTCGCACAAATACGTGTGGTGGGGAGACACGCATCTTGCCTTGAATCTTAATTAGTCCAAGAAAAAAAAACAGCTCTGGATTCCAATAATTGGAGAAGGCAACGGGTAAACACTTCATTATCTTTCCGAAGAATTCATGACAATTCCTAGATAATAAAGAAATTGAAGCTGTGGAGAGTCATGCCCGCCTACGTCTTAAAGAGTCATTATTATTATTATTATTATTATAGTCTTTTGAAGATGACACCAACAAAGGGAAAACAAAAAAATTAATAAGAATTACTGTTCATCAACTATTAATTACCTATAAATATTTTTCTCAAACTTATCTTCCTTTTTTCTCATTTAAATGTTTATTTACATTGCAGTACTATAAAAATACTAAACAGACGATATCCCGAGAGATGGATAGTGGAATGAGAACAGTCTACTCCGTAGATTAAATAAAGGGTTAAGTTCAAAAATCCCTGTAGGTTACACAGATCAATAGACACCTGAGGAAGCCCGGAGGGCACAACGCCGAAACTTTTTGATAACGACAACAAGAAGATGAAGACAATAGTCCAAATATAAATAGTGTAAATAATGGACGATGCAAAATTACAATAAGTTTGTCTTTGTAATTTACCCCTGAAGATGATCTTAGAAAGGTCGAAAGAACTAGGGTTAAAAAAAAAAAAAAAAAAACTACGGCGCCTTCCTTGATGAATTTCAACTTAACATCAATAAACTGATTAGACAATTAGGAAGGATGAATATAAAAATAAGTAGATACCATATGTCTATATTATTCAATGAAACGTGTGTGTGTGTGTGTGTGTGTGTGTGTGTGTGTGTGTGTGTGTGTGTGTGTGTGTTGGATTAAAAATAAATCCATTAATCCTTTAGAAATTGCTTTGTTTACGTCTCGGATACGAAACAGACTTGGGCTTTCAAGAAAATAATCTAAGTGAAGAGGATGTGTTTTCTTTTAAAAAAAAATGACCCTTGCTTAGTGAGACGTTTTTCGTGGCCGTAACAAACGGTGGTTTCTCTTATAAAGGGTTAACGGGTTCTATCCCTGCTGGAGAACATATTTTCTTTACTAAGATTTATCGAATGCGCAGGTCGATATACGTAATAAACACTGTTTAATAGACAAAAATAGACGTCTATTTCAAATACGAAGTATCCACTATGATATCCCTATCTATTGAGTTTTGAGAAAGACCGCCTCTTTGCGTAAAAACTCTCATTATAATGAAGTCAGTGTCTCTTGCAAATTTGGGGGTTGTAGTCCTGCTCTGACTGAGGTATTCAATTTTTTTTCATAGTTTGTGATGAAGCGTTTGGCATTTTCTAAAGTTGATGTACGTGTTTCTTGTATGACGTTTTTTTATTCCTTTGTTATTTGCTTATATAATTCCATTAATTCTAGCTAAGTATTATTAATTGTATAAATAAAAAAAGAACAACTGTATTATAATTAATATCATCATCATCATTCTGATTATATATGTATATTCTTATAGATATATATTCTAATAGATATATCTAATATTTTAAATAATATAATCATAATCTAAGAACCAACCCCTAGAAAAGTGGACACAGTGCCACAAAACTGCGGAGTTGGAGACAATTGATTATTACGGATAATTACAGTAATTCTTTTGTATTAAAAAATCAAATTTATTAATGCTCTGTGCCAAATATTAAGCACTATAGTAAAAATGTGTTCATTATATAAATGTAAATCTTATATATATATATATATATATATATATATATATAATAATAATAATATATATAATAATATATATATATATATATATATATTATTATTATTATTATTATTATTATTATTATTATTATTATTATTAATTAAAGAATATCAAATACTCAAAATCCCATAGGTAATAATTTTTATTTCATGAGAGCTCTAAAAATGCAGTTCTCAATCTTTAAAACCTATATACAAATCACAAATGAAATGAAAATCATGAAATAAAAATCTATACCGATGTTTGACATTCTTTAATTAATAATAATTTTGCTCTGTTTTTTGACATAGAGCTCTCTCTGGATCTATATCCTCCTGGAAATTCCATACGGATTACCATATTGTATCATTACTATATATATATATATATATATATATATATATATCTTTTTTTTTCTTTTTCTTTTGTCTAACAGGAAAGTATTCCGTGCCACCATGATCTTAGTTCCTTTGTTAGGACTGCAATATCTGCTCGCTGGTTTTTCTTCCAAAGATCCTGTGTTTCGTGATATTTATCACATTACCACAGTTATTATCAGCAGTTTACAGGTGAGTAGAATTAAATATTCTTTTAGCCTTTCTACACACACACACACACACACATATATATATATATATATATATATATATATATATATATATATATTAACAGTGTAAAAATATACATGGTTGTTCCTTGTCATGGTCGAGGGCTTACTTGGCCCTGTTAATCCTGGGTATGACGATAAACTACATCCGGCAGTAAAGCCTCTGATCGGGATATTGGAGGTTTCGAGGAGCATGGAAACTCTTCTTAATTTCTATTGTTCATAGGTTCACCCTCAGCCGGGGTTGTAGCACCAGTTAGGGTCCCAGCTATCCTCCACGCCAAACAAAAACAAAACGCTATGAGAGTATAAAAATACATTTTATAGTAAAAATACCAGCAATACATTTTTATATAAAAAAACTTACCAACAATGCGCACATAATAACAAATTGTATCAACTTCACGCAAATCCGATTAATATACTACCGAACAACCAACATGAAAGAACTTTTATGACATAAATCTATAAAATATCTTACAATTACTTAGATCAAACCATTCCAAAATATAACTTCAAAACACAAGACACGCATATCACCGCCTCTAGTAATCATGGCCACACAAATAAACATATGCACAGAAGGTGAGTATCATCTTCTATGTGAAAGCAAAATAACATATATCATTTTTTTATGACGGGGGAAGATAGGTGAGACGCTAAGATCCGAAGACGGATTGGGATGACCAAGAATGAATTTCAAAAGCTGGGCAGAGTACTGCGAGACAGGAGGATTTTTTTTTGGTGACAAAGAAAAGAGTACTGAGCTGCTACGTGACATCTGTCCTCTTATACGGCAGCGAATGTTGGACAGTATCCTCAAGGATGAAGAAGAGACTTGAGGCGGCGGATATGTGATTCTACAGAAGGATACTGAGGATATCATGGACCGAGCATGTGAGCAACGACGAGGTCTTGGAGAGAATGCAAACAAGGAGGAAGCTTAGGAATGGAATTTCTGGGACACGTAATGAAAAAGGAGTGCTTGAATGATCTAATACTCACAGGTCGAATAGAGGGAAAAAGAGACAAGGGAAATCAACGCATCACATACCTGGCGGGCTTAAGCAAGTGGATGACAGAACGTGGTCTGGAGGAGTTGACAGAGGCACGAAACTTATTGAGAGTTAAATAAGATAGGGGGGAAAGTGGAGAGCCATGGTCGTCTACATCCTGAAAGGACACGGCACATAAAAAGAAGATTAAAGGACTCATGAGGCGTTGAACAGACAAATTAATCAACTTGTCCCAGTGATCCCAAGAGCGAAGCCGTAGGAGTTCCAATTACTCTAGGGCTTCCCATGACGGTACGGTCGAAGAAGAAGGAGTAGACTGAACGCGACCAATCCCCGAAAACCCCAACGGCGGAAAGATCTATACGATCTCAACGACCAAACCGGTGGAAGAGTTGCAGCGCCAGTCGGGATGGCGTAACCAATGCGGACCTTGACAGACCAAGCATCCAACAGCCCGATGCAACCAGGTTTCCCAGATCTCGCCTGTCTGAATCTCCTTTGAGCCGTGATGGAGGCGATCCTGGCCAAGTGTATAGGCTTCTCCGTCAGGCTTTGTCCACCAAAATCACGCGAATGGCTTCGTCAAATTCTCTTTGATCCATAGCCATCTCCGTCACCGGCACCATCTGGCAGCAAGGGAACAGGGAAAGAGGATAACGATCCCGATGCTCGGGTACGAGCGGGTGCCGACAGCATTAACATAGGAATAACGATTGTTATGACGTACGTGAAGTGTGATGGATATATTTTCTTTGTCGTTTTTTTTTTTTATATATATATATGCATTTGAGTTATAATTGTTTTTATTTATTGATGGTTGTTTTTGTTGTATTATTAGTATTGCTTCAAGGATCATACGACACAGCACACTTTGACTACGTCACAACACTCGCTAGCTCTACGAAAATCCCAAATTGTTTCTACCTACCCTGATGATGACTTAAGAAAGTCGAAAACTTGAACCATATTTCCTGTACTTTTCTGCCGAAATGAGCTTCGGACAATTTCTGACGAAATTTCCTCCTTGTCAGAGAAGGATTATTAAAATCAATCGACACAAAATATCTGATGTTTTTAATAATAATATTTGCCTTAAAGAATATTTTCTGCCTAAATGCACAGACACACACACACACGCACTATATATATATATATATATATATATATATATATATATATATATATATGGTGTACCGAAAATACTTTTACAAACTTTGGGAGCGAGTTCATCACACCAAAACAAAGACATAAGTCTATATAAACATATCTCCGCAAATTCTTCATTTTTGAGTTATTAATGCTCTAGCATTTTTCGCGATGAAAGACGACCTGCAACGTTCCCCGACCTCAATCCTTTGGATTTTTATCTGTGGGGCCCACCTAAAACAATTGGTTTATGCAGCAGGCATTAATAATGCAGAGGCGCTTCATCAATATGTCATGGGGACCTGTAAAATCATTCGATACCGCGTGGGAGTAGTTGAAGGGATCCAATAGTCAATGACCCGACAGGTGCATGAGACATTTTGAACATTTGTTATGAGTTACTGTCTTCAGGTTGAACGATGGCCTTTTGTTTATATCGACATTTTACCTTGTTTTGGTATCAGGAACAAGCCCACAATGTTTGTAAAAGTATTTTTGATACACCCTACACAACCCCCCCTACGCACACACACACACACACACACATATATATATATATATATATATATATATATATATATATATATATATATATATATATTAAAAAAAAAAGAAGAGGTGCCAAAAACGTTTTTGGTTGTAATGTGGATTTATTTAGAAAAAATATTATGCTTTGTTTAACATAATTTTACTACATGGGTTTCTGGTCTCGCGACCGTCTTCAGGTAATTCGGATTTCTTTCTTGAATTCAAGAAAGAAATACGGATTACTAACACAAAAACAGAAAATGTCTCATATCGAGAATATTTAACATTGGAAAACATAAGGAAAAATTAATTATTTTTAATATGTGGAAATCTCCGCTTTTACCTGAAGACGGTCGCGAAACCAGAAACTCGTGTAGTAAAATTATGTAAAACAAAGCATAATATTTTTTTCTAAATAAATCCACATTACAACCAAAAACGTTTGCGACACCTCTCTTCTCTTCTTTTTAATATACATACTTTTCTCTCGTTGGAACAACTACAACATCTTTCTTTTTTATATATATATATATATATATATATATATATATATATATATATATATATATATATATAAACCTAGACAGCCAGACAAACCTACCAAGGTTTTCACCTAAGCGGATCGTCAGGGAAGGCTGGCTAACAAGGTAAAGGAAGAACGGAATATATAGTCAATAAACAAAAACCCAGTTTTCCCAAAAACTAGTTTTCCGAGAGACTATATTATCTTATACTTATAAGATATATATATATATATATATATAATCAAAAATAAAAAAGAAAGAACAGTTAGATTTATAATCCAGATTTCTTTAGCATTTATTAAAAAAAACAGTGCTCGATGCACAATAGGGCATATCATAATTATTTTTTTTTAAATTTGAAGTTCATTTCCATTTGAAAGCGATGTTGAGAGTATCCTTCGAAAAATTGATTTATTCTATTTATAAACCAAAAGGTATTATATATTTTAAATTCGTGGGGTCATGAGAATTCAGAATTTTTATTAAGGAGGTGTTGGATTTTTTGATGAATGAAAATGCAAGTATAATTTTTATGTGGCAAATTGAAAGTCGGTTAAGGGTGAAGGGTTAGAGATTTCTGTCTGTTGATAATGACTTCCTTTTATGCAGACGTGTCATCACAGTCTCGTTTTTTTTTATTTTGGGTTACAATACAATACATTTGGCATTTAATTTTTTTTATTTATTTTCTTGTATTTTAACACTATACCAGCGTTCATGTTAAATGAGCTGGAGAAGAACGCGTTTAGGACGATGTTCATTTCATTGTTTGACAGCAATAATTGTATTTAGTTACATAATTGTCCTGTAATGTCGTATCCTTGAAGCTTACAAAGAAGGCCGTCATGCTAACCCCTATTATCAAATGCTTTAGAGATATCTAGAGCCACGGCTCGAGCTTCTCTGTCATTGTGAAATGCTTGGTATACAAATTCAATTATGGCCGTGAACACGTCAGCAGTAGATCGGACAAAGCGGAAATCATATTACTTGTCGGAGAGCAGATTATGGGAAGTATAAGCGTGGTAAGAGACTGATAGGACGGTAGTTAGATGGGATCTCCAGAGTTCTTAAAGACAGGCACAACAGATGAGGACTTCCAACAGGCTGGAAAGAAAGAGTCGGTGTGGCAGTAGTTGTATATTTTGGAGAGAACATGAGCCAGTTCAGGAGCACACTTCTTCAGGACAACGGCTGGTATCCTGTCCCCACTACCACCTTTATTTGCAAACACTCTTTTCACTTTGATATAAATTGAATTATGTATATCATTACTAATGTTATTATATGATTATTATTTTATCTCATTATATACAATATATGTAGCTCCTCTGTTATGTTTACAAGGTAGCGTAATGGTTATCATCGCTGAAAAAGGAATCGGCGAGCCGTGTTCAAATTCTGGGTGACCCTTTTTTTTTTTCTTCACTTCATATAAATGCCCTTGGGAAATGTGATAATCTATCTCACCAGCTACGGGCTAAATAATAGTGTAAATTGAGTTCTCTACCCTTAGCTAAAAGTTTGTCTAGAAGAAAAATCACTGAATTCAAAAACTGTTGGTAAATAAATAAGACTCGAGGGGGGATTCTTTGAATCTAAATATAGTTTGGGTATTCACTGCAACTGAAACCTAGAGGTTGTTCAAGACCTGTTCAAGCCCTTATATAAAAGAAATTATTTACGTATTTCTTTGAAATAAATCATCAATAATCCTTCATAAGGCAAAAAAGTAAGTAACGCAAAAC